GTCTGGCCCTGAAAACAAACCTGTGGAACTTCAAAGCGTTGCTGCCAATTTTAAGAAGTTTCAAGTAGTCCATGTCTTGGCAAAAAACTTCAATACTCCTTGAAACAGCACAAAATGTGTGATGACAGGGTTGTTCCTGGCTCAGAGTGGGTCCTTAGGGAGGGATACACAACAGTAGTAAGCAGGATCTGTCCATGAACAGTCACTTTTTGACGAATTTTTATGTAAAGCACTCATTGAAATTGTATGACTGCAGGTAATTAAGGGTGTTGCTGCTTTGAGCAAGAGGTTGGTGTGGTCACAGGACAAGGGCTCACCTCAGCTCCACTCATCCTCCACCTCTTTGTTTCCTTTGGCACTGCCAAGATGGCAACAGCCAGAGCCACCACAGTGAGACCAAAAACCGCTCTGCAGGAAACTGAGGGGCACGTCATGGAGAGTCTGTCTATCCATATATATATAGACAATGGACAAGAGAAAGGCCTTATTTCATGTTCAATTTAAAAGTATTGTTTGGAGAAGCTTTGAGGAAAGAGAAATAGATTTCCATTTGGCCAAAAAACAAGAAATCGCACGACTCCTACGTCCTGTTTGTGATTGTTTTAACATTGATTTTTCAGGACAAAGCCCTGCAAATCCAACCTAATCATCGTCTTATAGAAACTACTGACTTTTGTAATGGGTAATTACTTCCATCATTCACCATCCAGAGTCACAAAGCAGTTCCAGTGTTTGTTCAGGTGGTAATCAGTGAAGTTGTTTGTGCAGGGTTAGGGAGCTCGGTGGGAAAACTGACATTTTAATAGATATCATTTTAGTATTCAGTGCGGTTGCCACTGCGGCTCTGTGTTGAACTGGTCAACGGCAACATCAGAATACATGAAAAGAAGTATTGTCATGACTACTAAACCTAGATTTCGATTTGTGGGGGACTATTGAATATAGTTTCAGATGTGTTGTGCGAGTATGTGCGTCAGGGATGGATAACATAATACGAGCAACCGAAGTCTGCAGGAAATATGACGCAAGATATCTTGACAGCAGCAAACATATGGGCACTTTTGCTTTCCGCCCTCTCACCCATAATATTCAGAAAACCATTCCAACAGTTGTACTTTTACCACATGAATACCACATTTCTGTTAGCTTCCCTCCTAGTTCATCTCAAAGTAACCTTGTCCTGCCTCTGAATTTTGAAGAAATAGTCGTAGAGTTGCCACATTGTTTTGACATGTAGCCTCTTGAGCTTTTCTTCTTCACAAATCTTTTTTCTCCCTCTTGCCCCCGTCTCTCACACCCTGCTGAATGGTAGATCCCTCGGGTACGGAGCTGCCAGCCTGCTGACATAGTGTATGCTACTATACCACCTCTGAGTGCGTTTGTGCGTATTTGAAAAGATATTATTACGTAGGACGGAATGATAACAAAAGAGACAACTGCATATTTGTACTTGTGTGCTAGTAGTCTGCAAAATCTCCCCTAAAACACTGAGGATGGAACAGTCTAAATGCTAATTGTGTGGCATTTTGACAGCTTGAGTTAGATTTGAATTGCAAAACTTTACAACTACTATCCAAATAGTTGCATGGCTTGAGGCTACATAGCTGCTTTTGGATGCCTTGCACACGGAGTGATAATGATCCTGTGCAATTAAATCAGGCATTTGATGTTCTCTCCTATTATGTGGTAATTCATTTACAATAGTAGGCAGGGGTACAATAGGTTTTTTTTTTACTGTGTTACCATCTGCAAACATGATTATTTTAATTTGTAGTCAGCTCTGTCAGATTGGAGCTGTTTTTGATTTACAATATATCACAAAGTTCTGAAGAATGCTGTAAACAATGACGAGAAGTTTTGGCAAGGTTTTGCCTCATTTCCTTCCTTTTTATTCTGGATTCATAAGATCTTGTATGGGTGCACAGGGATGCATCCTCAAATGTTTTTCCTGCCCAATTATTTTTACGTAGCCCTGTGGATCAAAATGATGTCCTCCTTAATTGAGTGAACTTGTTTCATTATTCAGAGAGGGTAATGTCATACAGGCTCTGGATAACACACTGCTTCAGAAATACTTTGATTTCACTCCTCTTTCATTGTGTATAGCCATTGTTTCGGCGAGGCTGGTGTGTGTATCTGATGAGAAGTTTTACTGCTCTAAAAACGTTTCTGATTATTCAACCATTTTCAACCCTGTCTCCCTAAAATTACATTTCTGACTAAACAGAAATCTCATTTATGTGTAGAAAGAGATGAAAAGTCAGACTTTGGCGACATAGGATATGCTTCCAGTTTGAAAGCGCAATAAAATCAACTTAAGGAGGCCTGACAGGAGGATGACAGTTTAAGTCAGCAACAGGACCTTCACCCAGGAGAACAGGACATACGTCCCATGTAGGACCAATCATCTGAGACCAGTGATGTTAATGACTAATCATTAATTGATTAATTGCAGTTAAAGATTGAACTAATTTGACGTATACCAAATAGGCAGAAGATGAAGAAAAAGGCTTGTCAGAGTTTCGTAGATTAGCTGTAGGCGATCATTCGAACTACTGGACAGCTCCATGTCAAGAGCACTTTGGGGGTTAAGCTAGCAATGGGCCACCATGACGGAGTCCTCGGTGGTGGTTAGTGTGTTCTGGCCACATGTTTCAGATGAGCAGATGAGTTGTTCCTATAACCAAGTGGCAATTGTAATCCAGCAGCCTTTGTGGTGAATGTCACGTGTCAGTTGTAAAAATAGCTCATCAGCATGTAGGACGATGTCCATTGTGCTTTTTTTCTTTTTAACAATTAGTTTATTGACAGATGACACCACTCATTGCTGTTTAAGAAAACCGTTTAAGATTTGCAACCTTGTCTTAGATTTCATTTTCATTTTCACACGTTGTTTATGTATTTGCTTGGTTAGGTTCAGCTACTAAACCTTCTGTGCATGGGTAGGTTTAGGAAAATCAAACTGACATATTTGTAGCTTCTCCTCCATTTTCTGATAATTGGCTGGCTCAAAAGGAGCAACAATAAAACAACAAGATAAAATACAAAGATAAGATCATTTGAAACACAGTTGTGATACTACACAAACGTTATCTGGCTGAACATGCTGAGAGTGTGATTGAGAATGCATTTTAGTTGTATAACAAAGTAATGTCTGGAGACAGGAGTTGATTTCTGTTGGACTGAATCAGAGATGTAGGAGCACTCCCATTGTACATCAAGAGTCAGGGATAAAAAAGACAAACCCATGTGGACTGCATTAGTTAACAGAAGAACTGACACAGGCACAGCGTCGTTCTCGCTCTTGTCAGTGGGCAGCAGCAGCAGTTAGAGTCCAGCTGCTGAGGCCCTGGCAGCAGTGTCAAACTGTCCACTATGTCTTGGGCCAAATCCCATTTCATCTTAACTGCGTTACTACACTCATGCCAGGAGGCAAATATGGAAGTACTTCACTTTTACAGCCAACAAAATCAGACACCTAAGAGACACCATAACCCCTCGGCTAAAACCACTACAAAGCTGTCTACTCAGATATGCTAAAACAAAAGCTGAGACGGGGAAATGAAATCCACTTGATAGCAGATCGTTATTCAAGGAGAAATATGGTTTTGCAGTGCAGCAGAAAGTATTATAATTATAGCCTTTCAGAATGAAACCAATAACATGATTATCGCTAGTCTGAAGAAGGTCAAATTTCAAGTCCACAATCAAGCTTTAATTCTGTTACAGAGTACCACAAACAAGGAAATAGGGCCTCACAAGAAATATACGAAAATTATGCATGTTTGTTTTCTTAAAAATGGTAATAATCATTCACATTCAAACCAAATAGCATGTTTGAAGTCCATTTTGTAAGTTTGAGTGATCGGTCCATTCAGATAAATCTCATGGAAAACAGTCAGAAGTCGCTGCACAGTTATCACAAATCCACTTTTATAGGACACCATCACCCAGATTTATTCAGGTCTCAGATCCAGGTTCTTGTTTTCAGGTTGAATATTCATGAAGTTATTTAAAGCGGCACCAGGACTCTGCTGGTGGATTTAAATGGAGCTGAAGGTTACATGAGATGAAAATTTAACTGTAGTACTCCAAAATTGTGTAAATTGATGTCAGTACATTGAAACAGACACCACAGGCTCGTGTTTACCAGCTCAGCCTGTGATGTCTCATTCTAAAAGATACCAAAGGGATGAGAAAAGATCAAACATTCGTGAGTCCAGCTTTCTCTGGATGGAGGGCTGACTCACTGCTGTTTTGGAGATGTTTTTTGCTTTCAAGTCTAAGCTAAAGTTTTGTTAACTCTAATGAGCGGAGAATCGTTAAAGCATCCCAAATTTCATTCATTTTCTTTAGGCAGTGTTTCCTTTTTTAGCCACAAAGATGGAGAAGGCAGTCTTAGAACTTTCTTTGGACAGTCATTTTTGGTAAAGCTGCAGGAATACCTTGAGGAATCAAAAGGAAACACTGATGAATCGTTTGCAGATGCACAGCCCATTCGTTCGGCCCATTTAGTTTCTACAAGATCAATTAGTTATATTCAATTAGATGTAAGCTAATTCTCCCAGACTTGTTTATTTCCATTAGTAAATTAGGTCTGAATTAATTTAGTTGTTGCATTAAAGAGGTTTATACTGTGCAGTGACATTCCAAACAACTAAATGGGTTGAAGTTATTTTTCAAACGTCATATGGAAAACATCTGTGTAGCTGCAAGCAACAGTGAGGCAGGTATGGAAAGATGTTGGCAGAGGATTACAAGGATACAGGGAAGGAGACAGGAAGGAGGGAGAGCTTGGAATAAAGGGATAAAGAGTGGACGGAAGAAGAGAAGGACTGAGCTACAGGTGTCAGCCCTGAAGTTTTGACTCATCTGTAATACAGGCTCTGACATTCAAAGTTGATGCTGTGCAAATATACGCATTGTATTTTTTCCTGAAGAAAGTGCAATCTTCTTGTATTGAGATGCTGTCTTTCTTTCTTTCTTTCTTTCTCTGTCAGGTGTTCCGTAGAAAGGCAGTGGAGTTGGGTGAAAAGCTGCTGCCAGCCTTCAAAACGCCCACCGGCATACCTTGGGCCCTGGTTAACCTCAAGAGGTAGAACACACACACACACACACACTGGCTCTTTCTCTCACAGCGGTCCACTCTGGTGGTACACGAGGCTGCAGGTCTGTTTTGATGGTTTGATACTTTAAAGAGCTCTGTGGTCTGTGGCTCGGTTTGAGCCGGGCAAACACAAGCTCTGTCTATTCTGCTCTCGCACACTGAGCTGAGAAGTTTTAGTTTTACATGACAGAGCAGACGTGTCAGACAGAAATTGTTGGGCATTTCATCCAGGACTGCGTGCCTGAAACCAAACTACATTCAAAAGACAAGCCCAAAGTTCCTGAGCACGTTGACAAGGTTAGAGGCCAAAGTCAGCCTTTATTAACACACTGTGACACTCTGTCAAGCGGCTGCCCCTGGGTTCCACACACACACACACACACACACACACACATAGCACAGACACACACCAGCTAAAGACAGAGATATGAAGCCTGCTTATTCTTTTGTTGTCAGGCTTCCACCACTGATGTGTTGCAATCTGACTGATTACATAGTTCTGATCCGTATTACAGTTCAAACACAACAATGTTTAGTTCATTAGATTAGTTTTCAACAGATATATTATACAAGAAAAACTCAATAATAGCACATATGAAAGCAAAAGCAGCTGCAAAGTTATTGTTTTTTTCAGTATATATATTAATATTTTATGTACTGTAGAGGTACGGTGTATTTATCAATAGTGTAGTCTATACATTGTTCAAGCTGGTATCTTTACCCTCCTAGTTTTTCCAAACCAACTTCTAAAAACAATGATGTTTAAGTTATAGCAAAAAATAATTGAGATTTAAGAAGCTGAAAACTGAATTCTTCCATATCTTCAATCAGCAGTCTGGTTTAATATAATCATGAGTGGATCTTATACATGGATTATCAAAATAGTTGTACTTAAAAACTGAACCTATTTTAACTGTTCCAAAAAACACACTTGCAGTGCAAAAAAAAATATCTTAGACTTGCAAAAGCAAACAGCTTGTACTTACTGTTAGCCTATGTTAGAAAAATCACGACTTCATATTATAATACAAAGTTTCAGCTCTTATGATGTATGATAAATACAGTAGTCGTCATATAAACCAGCCATACGTCTGCCAAAACGTTTCGCTTCAGCACCTCTGTCCATCACACACGATAAGGGAAGCAATATCTTTTCCTTTATTTCTTTCTTTCTTTCTCTCTTTCCCTGGTGAGAGACACGACACTGCTGTTTGTCAGCTGTTAATTAAAAGGCAGGTTGTCATGACGATAAACGTGCTGTAACAAATTAATTTTCTTTCTGTCTGTATGGGTGAATGGACTCTACCCCCCTTGTCCTTCTCCCAAACACCCCAGGGAGCGTAAGTGAGTGTGTGCTGTGTGTGAGTGTGTGTGTGTGTGTGTGTTGGTAGCAGTGCATGTGGGTCTACACACATGCATGATCCCCTGGAGGCCTGAGCAGATTGCTGCTGATGATGACTTTACCTGCATGACTGAGCTATGATAGCTTGGAAGCCCAAACACACACGTAATCCCCTGCACAAATTACAGTAACACACATACAGAGCACCGCAGTGAGCACCTCTGAGCAGGGAGCTGCTGTTTCTCACTCAGTTTTCTTCTTTGTGTGTGGCATGTCAATAAATGACAGAATAGCATCACAAAGGAGTTTTGGGCTGTTATATGTTAAAATGTGTGCTTTCGGACTCTGCTTACAGATTGCTGTAAATGACGTTGCAGGTGCAAAATTTAGACCATTTGAAATCTTAGCATTACAGTAGAAGACGTCTAATATAACCGAGCATAAGATGCAGTGTTTGGAATATACAAGACTGTACTCGTAGTGCTACCAAATCAGCTAATACAACACAGGGAAGCTTTAAGGTAGCTTTTCTCTGTCTAAATATATATTTTTTTCTTCCCTTGCTCACATAATACGCCAGGAATCATGCCAACATTAAATGAAAAGAACCAGAACACCTATTAAAACCATACCCACCTCAGACAGTGCAGACAGAATATTCTTCTATAACCTTTTAAAGACGCCCTCCGGTGAAAAACAAGTTCTTTTTCCCTTGTTAACATGTCCACATGGTGTTTTTTGTCTGCTTGAAGACACATCATGAGTGAAATGAACAGTCAACACCCTGGATGAGTATTTCCACCTTGAAACTTCGGTGTGCCAAAGACAAAAACAAACCGAAGGAACCAACCTAATCACATTGCAGGGTGGGACTTTCCATATCATTATTTTTTCCTCAGAATTACTTTCTGGTTTGAACATGTATGGCTGAATTGGCCCAGCATTCCAACTTGCTGTTGTGTAGAGTAACTATAAGCAGACTCATATGTGAGCCGGTGTGCTCAAGCTGCAGTAAGTGGGGAGGGATGGGTGAAAAGAGAAGGAAGGACTTCATAGAGCTGCACATTCTAAAGGAAGCAACAGTTTAGAATTACATCTAAGCTATTTTAATCCTCTTATCCCCGAGTGGTTTCTAGGCATTTCTTTCCCCCACTCACATTTTTACCCAATTTGGGCTCATTTTTACAGCGATAGGAAGTCCTGCGCCTTATTTGGAATGGCAAAAGTTGTAATGCCATGAATCACAATTTACAAAAAAAATAAAGAAGAGGCTCAATTTCTTTGATTATTCATTTTACAAAATGTAGAAACAAAAACAGTCCTTGAATTTTTGTCACATGACTGATGGTCACATCTGAGTTACTCATGGACTCACTGTTGCACCAAGGGGCACCAGATTATTGTTTTTTTTGTATGGAATCTAGAGCCAATTGTTTATTTTTTGCCAAATTCCTAAACAAGACATGCAGAATAATGTGATTTTTGATGAAATGCTATAATTTTAAGCTTTCATTTGGTTATTTTGTCCCAAAGGAACTGCACATCTCCCATGAGTAGTTGAAACGCCGTTGGAAAATTAAAAATCAGACGATTCTTTCTGGTTTTACAGTCTAACTAAATAGTAGAATTTTAGAAAAATGAAATGAAAAAATAATATTATTCTGTTTTAACCTCCTGACAGGTTTTGGCTCAGAGGGTTGCGGTAGAAGAGAATTATTTACATGGAGAAGAAAAAAACTTATAAATATGCAACTTTTATACATAGAGATGAGTTTTTTGGTTTTGAATCAACAGCTAGGGAGAGACTTTAACAGATATTATCAGGGCGTCTCTGGTGATATGACCTCTTTGTGACTTTTGGAAATGAAACTGAACTGTTTATTCTGCTTATTTAATTGGTTTCAGCTGTTGTTATTGGAATGACTTCCCGGCTGTGCCTCCAGCTTACAGCTGGCTACCAACATAACACGCCCATAGCGAGTGCTATACTTCACACAACCTCCTGTTTTCATTAAAATGCTAATTTTGGAGGAAATTAGGGGATTTAGACTTCTACATGAACACAAGCTAATAACCTGCTTATTGGTGTGTCACTGAACAGTTGCATGTTGCTCAATATATTGTTCAGAAAATACATATACTTCCAATGGCAGTTCTGATTGATCTGTGGGATAAACAAACACTCACCGCTTTTCAAAGTGTCGCAGTCTGAATGCGTTTCATTCACGAGGAACAGGTTAGAAAGAAACAGAGCGACAGGAGGTCAAAATATTTTATAAGTGAGTAAGAGGAAAAGTCTCAAGTGCTCTTGAAACAGAATAGTTTGGAAGTTCAAGACGTACAATATGCAACCTTTATCCAGACTGAAGCAGGATAATTGTGTAAAACACACAGACGCACTTACAAACGACGCCCTGTTATCATCTCTCCCTTCATCTCTGTCGCTCTCCTTTCTCTGTTTTTACTCTCAGTTCCTTCATTCTCCTTCATTTTTTTTCCTCCTCACTCTTCTGTATTCCCTCTCTGTCCTTGCTTACTTCATCCATCTTACAGAGAGTGACCCAGTATCTCCTTCTCTTTCAGGACATGGTTCTGTAGGTTCACTCCACTCTATGGCCTTGTTCTCTTTATTCCTTCTTGCTAGTTTTTCATCACTCTACCCTGCAGCTATCTACAGAGCCCAAGAGGGGCCGCACGAAATAAGGCCACAGTTTAAATCGTGTTATTGCTCCTACACTGAGTATACCTTTCTTGCTTGGTCGCTCAGTGTTAATTTCAGACAACAAGATAAATGCCGTTTCCTTAGACGGGAGATGTCTCAGCTACTTTTCCCACTGGAACTATTGGTTTGTCAAATTATTGTGAGTCCCAGCTTAAGCAACAGGAGCAGCAAAGTGTCTGTTTGCTTTGATGTGCATGTTAACTTCATCTGAGAGGACCAGGTTCTTTCACTAAGTGCTTGTTAGTGAGTATTGTGAAAACCAGACGTCCTATGTCATCTTACGAAATCTGTTTTTTTCCACCAGTTATTGGATCTTTAAAGAGTAACTGATTACCAGGCTAAAAAGCAGTGTTTTTCTGCTCTATCTGAACAAAGCTGTAATCAAGAGAATCGTTGGATTATACCTAACATCACTGATTCATGAGACTGGGTGTGATCAGAAATAGGCTCTGCTGCACCTGTAACCACTTCTATCAGTGAAGTCGTTGCACCCTGCAGCAAAGGTCAGCAAAGGCAAGATTTTAAGGGGCGTTACTATACCCTTAAAGTCCCTACACTCATTGCTGAAACCCATAAAAACTCATGTCCTTGTGTCAGAGGTGCATATTTAGATTTTTTTCCTCTAATTATGTAATTTCGATAGTACAGCCACTTACCTCAGACTCTGCTCAAACACTCTAAAACTACTCTACACTACAACTCAATTCTCATTGGTTTTATTTGAAAGGTGCCAATTCACAACATGTCATCTCAAGGCACTTCACATAATAAGGTTAAAGACCTTACAAAATAATAGAGAGAAATCCAACAATTCCAAACGATTTCCTTTGAGCAAGCGCTTTGGCAAAACGGCACAATGGCCACCTTGAAGCTACTCTTCACTACACACTGGCAAGTTTTAATGTTGGAGTAGTTCATGTTAGA